CTGCCTTCGGCGTGGGTGCAGGTGTTGCCAGCATTGCGCAGCACGAAGATGTCACCAGGCATGGCATCAAACACAGTCTCCAAAGGAGCACGGGAATCCGCACAGCCAATGATGGCAGTGTGTGGTGCCTGACCCTCTTTGACCAGGGCCTTCCTCATTGCTGGAGTGATCTTTCCTGAAATGGCAGCACCAGAGGTGAAGCGCGCATTGCCCTCCTTCAGCAGCTTCAATGCCTCTTGGGATGGCAAGGGGCCATCAGTTGTTGTGCGGATGGGCAATGCCTGGAGGGATGGTGGCAAGCTTGGGTCAGAGCGGAGCAATTCAGCCTGCCTGGGGGAGCGGCCAAGGAACTCAACTCGACCAGTCTCCAAATGGTAGATACCACCCTGGATTTCCACGGTGCCGCTCTTCACAAGCTCCCTGAGGGATGGGCTGTACTTCAACAAGAACTCGATGGAGCTAAAGACGTTCACGCGCACGGAGTGGGACACCAACTGGTCCTGATCGGCGCCAACACCAAGCTCCTCTTCGGCCTGCTTTGCGACGCCAGACAAACCCACCAGCAGACCCTCAAGTGCACTCCCTGCACTCTTGGAGGCCTTGCCTTCCTTGCTGGCAAGGTAGGTCGCAGTAGCTCCGGCAATGGCTCCGCACTTGGTGTGGCCCATCACCAAAATCAACTTGGAGCCCAACTTGCCACAGCAGAACTCCAAGCTGCCAACCATGCTGCCTTCCGCATGGGTGCAAGTGTTGCCTGCATTCCTCAAGACAAACAAGTCACCTGGCATGGCATCGAACACAGTGTCAACTGGCACACGGGAATCTGCGCAGCCAAGGATGGCGGTGTGGGGTGCCTGCCCATGGCTTACCAAAGCTTCACGCATCTTGAGAGTGGCGTGCTTGGCCAAAGGAGCACCCACAGCAAAGCGCTCGTTGCCAGCCTTCAGCATCTTCAAAGCTTCCTCAGCAGGAACTGCACTGTCCACTGTGGTGCGCACTCCATGCTCACCTCGTGCGGAAGGGCCATAGCCAGAGGTGCGGCCACCCTCACGAGTCATGGATGGGGGAAGCCCAAGGTTGGTGCTCAAAAGGGTGGACTGCTGTGGAGAACGTCCCATGAACTCCACCTTTCCAGAGTCCAGGTGATAGATGCCACCCTGGATCTCGACCTGGCCACTCTTAACCTTCTCCCGCAATGGGGCGCTGTACTTCAGCAAGAAGTCGATAGTGTGGAAGACGTTCACGCGCACAGCGTGGGCTGCGACCTCATCTGCATCAGTGTGGCAACCCATGTCGGCCACGGCCTTCTCCGCCACTGGGGCCAAGTCCAACAGCAGACCCTCCAGGGCAGACTCAACACTGGCGGTCTCAGACTTCTTTGCCGCCAGGTAGGCGTTCGTGGCACCATAGACGGCACCGCACTTGGTGTGGCCAAGCACCAAAATCATGCGGGCACCCAGCTTGCCGGTGCAGAACTCCAAGCTGCCAACCATGCTGCCCTCGGCGTGGGTGCAGGTGTTGCCAGCATTGCGCAGCACAAAGATGTCACCAGGCAGGGCATCAAAGATGGTCTCCAAAGGTGCCCGGGAATCTGCACAGCCAATGATGGCAGTGTGTGGTGCCTGTCCCATGTCAACAAGCTCCTGGCGCATTTTCTCGTTGGTTCGAGTTGCGGTAGGCTCTCCCTTGATGAAGCGCGCATTACCCTCCTTCAAGAGCTTCAGAGCCTCATCAGGAGGCATGGGCGCATCTGCGGTGGTGCGCACATTCCTGCCTCAGAATGCCAGAGATTCAGAAGTTGGATTTGACAGTCACCAGATACATCACAGACGACATGTTGTACGCACAGTGACACCATCACGGTTCTATCAAAGATTGATCAAAATGCATCTAAAATAAAGTATCACAAGTACACAAGCACACACAAGCGGTTTCTTAGGCTCCGACTTGAGGATGCCATGGTGGGAACACTCAACGCGATGATAGACGGATTCGACTTGCACAAATGGCTCTGGAAGGTAGAGCAGTAGTTATCCTTCTTCAAAGCATGTCAAAGCATGTCAAAACCAATTTGACCATCTCATTTATTCTGCAAATACATGATCCTTCTCAAAAAACCTCTGTCATTCAAGTAGTATACGTAGATGCCCATGGTCCCTTGCGGCTGCAACAACAGCTGGATTGTGCTGGATTTTCCAGCCCCAAAATATCCTTCCCTTCGGAGTTAAATGGAGAATGCCTGCAAGCTGCCTGTTGCCTCACTCAACTGTCCTCGTAATCGATTGCTGAGGTGTTCTGAAGATTCTACTGCACCGCTCACCACTCGGTCAAGTGGAAGCTGAGAATCAAGCAAACCTGGAGACTTTTGCGCGTTCTATCGCAAAGTTACGGGTTTCTGGTATTCCCTGCTGCAACTGGAGTTGCGGCAAGAACCAGGAGCTGCAAGATTCTGCAGCTTGCGAAAGTACATACAGACTCCAGGTCCTGCCATGCCGATGGTCGGCAACAGCAGGTTTAAATAGACTCCTGTTGTCTGCATATGTCTGCATCGTTGAGCCCGTGCCAATCGCACAGACTGAAAATGTCGAGACATTTTGGCAAGAAAAACCTATCTGACATCTGGTGATACCGAGCATTGGCCGTTGCACGCTGCATGTGAGCGAGAGAACCCCACACTTAGTGAAGGGGTTGCAATCATGCCAACGATGGGGGCAAAGTGGAAGCAGATTTCACCAAGGTGGCCTGAGCTGGGCTCTGACCCAAGAACTCCACATGACCGGTCTCCAGGTCGTAGATGCCGCCCTGGATCTCAACCTCCCCTGCAGCAACCTTCGGGCAGAATGTGATGCAAAGTTATGAATCCAAAGACTATGACACACTTGAGATCGAAGGTACCAAATGCAAAATGCATCCAAATACATTAGATGTAAACAAACCGCATTCAAAAGAGCGGTGCTTCTGCAACTGAGTCAGCCGAGCACGAGCAGTCTGTACGTCGCAATATGTCACAATATGTCACAACATGTCATGATATGTCATGATATGTCACGATGTCACCAGCGTTCAACCGGCCTTTTCTCTGACGAGTGGGCTGTACTGCAAAAGGAAGTCAATGGTGTGGAAGACGTTCCTTGCAAAAGAACTGATGATGCAAGAGGGTCATGGGTCCTCCAAGAAATCCTAGTTTCCGGGGATAAGTTGGATATCATACTATTTCCATCCAAAAAATATCTCGGGACTTTTGCATCCAAAAAATATCTCGGGACATTACCGCAAAATATGAGGGAAAACAGGAGTTGAAGCTCAAATCATCTACATTCCATACTGATATACTATATATACTATACTTTTGATGTGCAATTGTTTCTGATGCATCCCAAATCATTCAAAAGATACAGCCGCAGAGCTGTATGGGAAAGCATTGTAGAATATTGTAGAAGAATTTGAAGGGCTCCGGTCCCAAGCCCGTGCCTCTAGCCCTGTCACCAGAAACTGTCTAGGCACATTTAGGCCATTCTTTTTTTCCGACATCCCCAAGCGCCCTGATCCTTTTGTGAAATACAAGATCAAGAAAGGGATACGAATCTGCAGAACCTCACCTTGTATGTTCCAAAAATCGTTGGCAATTCAAAGTACGGTTTGACGGGTCCTGGCCTGCGAAATGTCGGATTCTTCTATGCAGCACTTGGGCTCTATGCCCCGGAACAGCTTGAAAAATCTTCTATTTGAAAAAACTGCTACTCTGTCATGGAATATCAAGAAGTTGATTCGGTCACTTTCATATTTGCCAAGAAACAGCTTGATGGTCCTGTCCACGATCTGCGCCTCCGTTGCGCCTTCACCCAACTCCTCAGATGCCTTCTTTGCCACGTCGCTGAGGCCAACCAGCAAGGCATCCAAGGCTTTGGTGACCTGGCAGTGTGAGAAGTTCGTGCCTAGGATTCCACAGAAGATCACATATCACTTACTTAGCATATCTTAGCATCATGTTCGCTGTTTTTTTTGCTTACTATATAATCATCTTGCATCTCTTTGATTCTCTGTGCCCTTTACATTCTTGCTTTGGCTCAGTAAACTGTCAAGCGAGGAAATCTTTGCCAAAATGGACTGCAGATTTTGCTTGAAAGCTGAGGCATGCTATGGCGTAAAATATCGTAAAAATCATGCGCAGTAATGCATATTGTGGTTCATGATGTTTCTATATACTACAACAAATTCTGACATCTTCTCTTCGAGAAAAAGGTTCAAGTATTCCAGCCTGAGGCTTGTTGCCGCTCTTGGCCTGCAGGTATGTTGCTGTGGCACCCTTGATGGCTCCGCAGGCTGTGTGTCCGAGCACCAAGACCATCTTGGACTGCAGGGCGGCAACGCAGAACTCCAAGCTGCCAAGTACGCTGCCTTCGGCGTGGGTGCAGGTGTTGCCAGCATTGCGCAGCACGAAGATGTCACCAGGCATGGCATCAAACACAGTCTCCAAAGGAGCACGGGAATCCGCACAGCCAATGATGGCAGTGTGTGGTGCCTGACCCTCTTTGACCAGGGCCTTCCTCATTGCTGGAGTGATCTTTCCTGAAATGGCAGCACCAGAGGTGAAGCGCGCATTGCCCTCCTTCAGCAGCTTCAATGCCTCTTGGGATGGCAAGGGGCCATCAGTTGTTGTGCGGATGGGCAATGCCTGGAGGGATGGTGGCAAGCTTGGGTCAGAGCGGAGCAATTCAGCCTGCCTGGGGGAGCGGCCAAGGAACTCAACTCGACCAGTCTCCAAATGGTAATACCACCCTGGATTTCCACGTTGCCGCTCTTCACAAGCTCCCTGAGGGATGGGCTGTACTTCAACAAGAACTCGATGGAGCTAAAGACGTTCACGCGCACAGAGTGGGACACCAACTGGTCCTGATCGGCGCCAACACCAAGCTCCTCTTCGGCCTGCTTTGCGACGCCAGACAAACCCACCAGCAGACCCTCAAGTGCACTGCCTGCACTCTTGGAGGCCTTGCCTTCCTTGCTGGCAAGGTAGGTCGCAGTAGCTCCGGCAATGGCTCCGCACTTGGTGTGGCCCATCACCAAAATCAACTTGGAGCCCAACTTGCCACAGCAGAACTCCAAGCTGCCAACCATGCTGCCTTCCGCATGGGTGCAAGTGTTGCCTGCATTCCTCAAGACAAACAAGTCACCTGGCATGGCATCGAACACAGTGTCAACTGGCACACGGGAATCTGCGCAGCCAAGGATGGCGGTGTGGGGTGCCTGCCCATGGCTTACCAAAGCTTCACGCATCTTGAGAGTGGCGTGCTTGGCCAAAGGAGCACCCACAGCAAAGCGCTCGTTGCCAGCCTTCAGCATCTTCAAAGCTTCCTCAGCAGGAACTGCACTGTCCACTGTGGTGCGCACTCCATGCTCACCTCGTGCGGAAGGGCCATAGCCAGAGGTGCGGCCACCCTCACGAGTCATGGATGGGGGAAGCCCAAGGTTGGTGCTCAAAAGGGTGGACTGCTGTGGAGAACGTCCCATGAACTCCACCTTTCCAGAGTCCAGGTGATAGATGCCACCCTGGATCTCGACCTGTCCACTCTTAACCTTCTCCCGCAATGGGGCGCTGTACTTCAGCAAGAAGTCGATAGTGTGGAAGACGTTCACGCGCACAGCGTGGGCTGCGACCTCATCTGCATCAGTGTGGGAACCCATGTCGGCCACGGCCTTCTCCGCCACTGGGGCCAAGTCCAACAGCAGACCCTCCAAGGCAGACTCAACACTGGCGGTCTCAGACTTCTTTGCCGCCAGGTAGGCGTTCGTGGCACCATAGACGGCACCGCACTTGGTGTGGCCAAGCACCAAAATCATGCGGGCACCCAGCTTGCCGGTGCAGAACTCCAAGCTGCCAACCATGCTGCCCTCGGCGTGGGTGCAGGTGTTGCCAGCATTGCGCAGCACAAAGATGTCACCAGGCAGGGCATCAAAGATGGTCTCCAAAGGTGCTCGGGAATCTGCACAGCCAATGATGGCAGTGTGTGGTGCCTGTCCCATGTCAACAAGCTCCTGGCGCATTTTCTCGTTGGTTCGAGTTGCGGTAGGCTCTCCCTTGATGAAGCGCGCATTACCCTCCTTCAAGAGCTTCAGAGCCTCATCAGGAGGCATGGGCGCATCTGCGGTGGTGCGCACGTTCCTGCCTCAGAATGCCAGAGATTAAGAAGTTGGATTTGACAATCACCAGATACATAACAGACGACATGTTGTACGCACAGTGACACCATCACGGTTCTATCAAAGATTGATCAAAGTGCATCTAACGTAAAGTATCACAAGTACACAAGCACACACAAGCGGTTTCTTAGGCTCCGACTTGAGGATGCCATGGTGGGAACACTCAACGCGGTGATAGACGGATTCGACTTGCACAAATGGCTCTGGAAGGTAGTGCAGTAGTTATCCTTCTTCAAAGCATGTCTAAGCATGTGAAAACCAATTTGACCATCTCATTTATTCTGCTTTAATCTGCAAATACATGATACTTCTCAAAAAACCTCTGTCATTCAAGGAGTATACGTAGATGCCCATATTCCCTCGTGGCTGCAACGAACAGCTAGATTTCCAAATATCCTTCCCTTCGGAGTTAAATGGAGAATGCCTGCAAGCTGCCTGTTGCCTCACTCAACTGTCCTCGTAATCGATTGCTGAGGTGTACTGAAGATTCTACTGAACCGCTCACCACTCGGTCAAGTGGAAGCTGAGAATCAAGCAAACCTGGAGACTTTTGCGCGTTCTATCGCAAAGTTACGGGTTTCTGGTATTCCCTGCTGCAACTGGAGTTGCGGCAAGAACCAGGAGCTGCAAGATTCTGCAGCTTGCGAAAGTAAATACAGACTCCAAGCCCTGCCATGCCGATGGTCGGCAACAGCAGGTTTAAATAGACTCCTGTTGTCTGCATATGTCTGCATCGTTGAGCCCGTGCTAATCGCACAGACTGAAAATGTCGAGACATTTTGGCAAGAAAAACCTATCTAACATCTGGTGATACCGAGCATTGGCCGTTGCACGCTGCATGTGAGCGAGAGAACCCCACACTTAGTGAAGGGGTTGCAATCATGCCAACGATGGGGGCAAAGTGGAAGCAGATTTCACCAAGGTGGCCTGAGCTGGGCTCTGACCCAAGAACTCCACATGACCGGTCTCCAGGTCGTAGATGCCGCCCTGGATCTCAACCTCCCCTGCAGCAACCTTCGGGCAGAATGTCATGCAAAGTTATGAATCCAAAGACTATGACACACTTGAGATCGAAGGTACCAAATGCATCCAAATGCATCCAAATACATTAGATGTAAACAAACCGCATTCAAAAGAGCGGTGCTTCTGCAACTGAGTCAGCCGAGCACGAGCAGTCTGTACGTCGCAATATGTCACAATATGTCACAACATGTCATGATATGTCATGATATGTCACGATGTCACCAGCTTTCAACCGGCCTTTTCTCTGACGAGTGGGCTGTACTGCAAAAGGAAGTCAATGGTGTGGAAGACGTTCCTTGCAAAAGAGCTGATGATGCAAGAGGGTCATGGGTCCTCCAAGAAATCCTAGTTCCGGGGATAAGTTGGATATTATATTATTTCCATCCAAAAAATATCTCGGGACATTACCGCAAAATATGAGGAAAAACAGGAGTTGAATCTCAAATCATCTACATTCCATACTGATATACTATATATACTATACTTTTGATGTGCAATTGTTTCTGATGCATCCCAAATCATTCAAAAGCTACAGCCGCAGAGCTGTATAGGAAAGCATTGTAGAATATTGTAGAAGAATTTGAAGGGCTCCGGTCCCAAGCCCATGCCTCTAGCCCTGTCACCAGAAACTGTCTAGGCACATTATAGGCCATTCTTTTTTTTCCGACATCCCCAAGCGCCCTGATCCTCTTGTGAAATACAAGATCAAGGAAGGGATAAGAATCTGCAGAACCTCACCTTGTATGTTCCAAAAATCGTTGGCAATTCAAAGTACGGTTTGACGGGTCCTGGCTTGCGAAATGTCGGATTCTTCTATGCAGCACTTGGGCTCTATGCCCCGGAACAGCTTGAAAAATCTTCTATTTGAAAAAAGTGCTACTCTGTCATGGAATATCAAGAAGTTGATTCGGTCACTTTCATATTTGCCAAGAAACAGCTTGATGGTCCTGTCCACGATCTGCGCCTCCGTTGCGCCTTCACCCAACTCCTCAGACGCCTTCTTTGCCACGTCGCTGAGGCCAACCAGCAAGGCATCCAAGGCTTTGGTGACCTGGCAGTGTGAGAAGTTCGTGCCTAGGATTCCACAGAAGATCACATAAGACACTTACTTAGCATATTAATATCTTAGCATATCTTAGCATATCTTAGCATCATGTTCGCTGTTTTTTTGCTTACTATATAATCATCTTGCATGTCTTTGATTCTCTGTGCCCTTTACATTCTTGCTTGTCTCAGTAAACTGTCAAGCGAGGAAATCTTTGAAAGCTGAGGTATGCCATGGCGTAAAATATCGTAAAAATCATGCGCAGTAATGCATATTGTGGTTCATGATGTTTCTATATACTACAACAAATTCTGACATCTTCTCTTCGAGAAAAAGGTTCAAGTATTCCAGCCTGAGGCTTGTTGCCGCTCTTGGCCTGCAGGTATGTTGCCGTGGCACCCTTGATGGCTCCGCAGGCTGTGTGTCCGAGCACCAAGACCATCTTGGACTGCAGGGCGGCAACGCAGAACTCCAAGCTGCCAAGTACGCTGCCTTCGGCGTGGGTGCAGGTGTTGCCAGCATTGCGCAGCACGAAGATGTCACCAGGCATGGCATCAAACACAGTCTCCAAAGGAGCACGGGAATCCGCACAGCCAATGATGGCAGTGTGTGGTGCCTGACCCTCTTTGACCAGGGCCTTCCTCATTGCTGGAGTGATCTTTCCTGAAATGGCAGCACCAGAGGTGAAGCGCGCATTGCCCTCCTTCAGCAGCTTCAATGCCTCTTGGGATGGCAAGGGGCCATCAGTTGTTGTGCGGATGGGCAATGCCTGGAGGGATGGTGGCAAGCTTGGGTCAGAGCGGAGCAATTCAGCCTGCCTGGGGGAGCGGCCAAGGAACTCAACTCGACCAGTCTCCAAATGGTAGATACCACCCTGGATTTCCACGTTGCCGCTCTTCACAAGCTCCCTGAGGGATGGGCTGTACTTCAACAAGAACTCGATGGAGCTAAAGACGTTCACGCGCACAGAGTGGGACACCAACTGGTCCTGATCGGCGCCAACACCAAGCTCCTCTTCGGCCTGCTTTGCGACGCCAGACAAACCCACCAGCAGACCCTCAAGTGCACTGCCTGCACTCTTGGAGGCCTTGCCTTCCTTGCTGGCAAGGTAGGTCGCAGTAGCTCCGGCAATGGCTCCGCACTTGGTGTGGCCCATCACCAAAATCAACTTGGAGCCCAACTTGCCACAGCAGAACTCCAAGCTGCCAACCATGCTGCCTTCCGCATGGGTGCAAGTGTTGCCTGCATTCCTCAAGACAAACAAGTCACCTGGCATGGCATCGAACACAGTGTCAACTGGCACACGGGAATCTGCGCAGCCAAGGATGGCGGTGTGGGGTGCCTGCCCATGGCTCACCAAAGCTTCACGCATCTTGAGAGTGGCGTGCTTGGCCAAAGGAGCACCCACAGCAAAGCGCTCGTTGCCAGCCTTCAGCATCTTCAAAGCTTCCTCAGCAGGAACTGCACTGTCCACTGTGGTGCGCACTCCATGCTCACCTCGTGCGGAAGGGCCATAGCCAGAGGTGCGGCCACCCTCACGAGTCATGGATGGAGGAAGCCCAAGGTTGGTGCTCAAAAGGGTGGACTGCTGTGGAGAACGTCCCATGAACTCCACCTTTCCAGAGTCCAGGTGATAGATGCCACCCTGGATCTCGACCTGTCCACTCTTAACCTTCTCCCGCAATGGGGCGCTGTACTTCAGCAAGAAGTCGATAGTGTGGAAGACGTTCACGCGCACAGCGTGGGCTGCGACCTCATCTGCATCAGTGTGGCAACCCATGTCGGCCACGGCCTTCTCCGCCACTGGGGCCAAGTCCAACAGCAGACCCTCCAGGGCAGACTCAACACTGGCGGTCTCAGACTTCTTTGCCGCCAGGTAGGCGTTCGTGGCACCATAGACGGCACCGCACTTGGTGTGGCCAAGCACCAAAATCATGCGGGCACCCAGCTTGCCGGTGCAGAACTCCAAGCTGCCAACCATGCTGCCCTCGGCGTGGGTGCAGGTGTTGCCAGCATTGCGCAGCACAAAGATGTCACCAGGCAGGGCATCAAAGATGGTCTCCAAAGGTGCTCGGGAATCTGCACAGCCAATGATGGCAGTGTGTGGTGCCTGTCCCATGTCAACAAGCTCCTGGCGCATTTTCTCGTTGGTTCGAGTTGCGGTAGGCTCTCCCTTGATGAAGCGCGCGTTACCCTCCTTCAAGAGCTTCAGAGCCTCATCAGGAGGCATGGGCGCATCTGCGGTGGTGCGCACGTTCCTGCCTCAGAATGCCAGAGATTAAGAAGTTGGATTTGACAGTCACCAAATACATCACAGACGACATGTTGTACGCACAGTGACACCATCACGGTTCTATCAAAGATTGATCAAAGTGCATCTAACATAAAGTATCACAAGTACACAAGCACACACAGGCGGTTTCTTAGGCTCCGACTTGAGGATGCCATGGTGGGAACACTCAACGCGATGATACACGGATTCGACTTGCACAAATGGCTCTGGAAGGTAGTGCAGTAGTTATCCTTCTTCAAGGCATGTCTAAGCATGTCAAAACCAATTTGACCATCTCATTTATTCTGCTTTAATCTGCAAATACATGATACTTCTCAAAAAACCTCTGTCATTCAAGGAGTATACGCTAGATGCCCATATTCCATCATATTCCCTTGCGGCTGCAACGAACAGCTAGATTTCCAAATATCCTTCCCTTCGGAGTTAAATGGAGAATGCCTGCAAGCTGCCTGTTGCCTCACTCAACTGTCTTCGTAATCGATTGCTGAGGTGTACTGAAGATTCTACTGCACCGCTCACCACTCGGTCAAGTGGAAGCTGAGAATCAAGCAAACCTGGAGACTTTTGCGCGTTCTATCGCAAAGTTACGGGTTTCTGGTATTCCCTGCTGCAACTGGAGTTGCGGCAAGAACCAGGAGCTGCAAGATTCTGCAGTTTGCGAAAGTAAATACAGACTCCAAGCCCTGCCATGCCGATGGTCGGCAACAGCAGGTTTAAATAGACTCCTGTTGTCTGCATATGTCTGCATCGTTGAGCCCGTGCTAATCGCACAGACTGAAAATGTCGAGACATTTTGGCAAGAAAAACATATCTAACATCCGGTGATACCGAGCATTGGCCGTTGCACGCTGCATGTGAGCGAGAGAACCCCACACTTAGTGAAGGGGTTGCAATCATGCCAACGATGGGGGCAAAGTGGAAGCAGATTTCACCAAGGTGGCCTGAGCTGGGCTCTGACCCAAGAACTCCACATGACCGGTCTCCAGGTCGTAGATGCCGCCCTGGATCTCAACCTCCCCTGCAGCAACCTTCGGGCAGAATGTCATGCAAAGTTATGAATCCAAAGACTATGACACACTTGAGATCGAAGGTACCAAATGCATCCAAATGCATCCAAATGCATCCAAATGCATCCAAATGCATCCAAATGCATCCAAATGCATCCAAATTGCATCCAAATTGCATCCAAATACACTAGATGTAAACAAACCGCATTCAAAACAGCGGTGCTTCTGCAACTGAGTCAGCATTCTGTGAGCTCTGGCTGTTGTGAGTCTAGTTGTGCCATGTTATGGCACTACCGCACCTACCGCATCTGTACAGTAGTGGTCAAAATATGTCACAATATTTCACAATATTGCGCACTGTGTCAAAATATGTCACCATCGTCGACCATTGTTCGGCCCGCCTTCTCTCTGACGAGTGGGCTGTACTGCAAAAGGAAGTCAATGGTGTGGAAGACGTTCCTTGCAGAAGAGTTGATGCAAAAATGGCATCCTGATTCTGGAGATTAGCTGGATCATTTGTTTTTTTGAAGACCACATTGTCTTGACATTAAAATCAATAAAGCCTCATGATCTGAACTTAAACCAATGTATCATTACTATATCATACTATATCATACTATATCATACTAATCTATCTATATTTCTGATGTGCAATGGTTTGCTGTGTAGGAAAGCATTGGAAGGCGTTGTACAAGGATTTGATGGATTCCCCCCGTAGGCCGGTCACCCAAACTGTCTAGGCACGTTTAGGCCATTGTTTTTTGGACATTCGTAAGCTAAGCCTCCTAAGCTTCTGGCCCATGCTGGACCATGAAGTGGTAAGAAAATCTGCAGGACCTCACCTTGTATGTTCATTTGAGGGGTCGTGGCCTGCGAAATGTCGGATTCTCCTATCATCGAAGGAAGTTTAGAAGTCAAACTTCCGACAATATTGACAGATGAAAAGCAGAGTAGGGAAGAGGCAGAGAGAAGAGAAAGATTAGAAGAAAGAAGAGTGGAAGAGAAAGAGTCAGAAGGAAGAAGATGCAGATGCGTGAAAAGGTAGGAAAGTCGCGAAACACTATGTTTTTCCAATGATTTGAGGCTCCGGAGGGTCGAAAAGTAGGCTCGCTAAAGCGGCGGGAGCCAGCTGGCCAGATGAGAGATGAAAAAGTGCACGCCGTTGTGGCACGAAGCACATTTCCAAGTCAAAATGTACAAAACAAACCATGGTCGGACCACTTTTGGAAGTTGCGATGTCGAAAAAGTGCACGCCGTTGTGGCGCGAAGCACATTTCTAAGTCAAAATGTACAAAACACACCAGCTCCGGACCACTTTTGGCAGTTGAGATGTCGAAAAAGTGCACGCCGTTGTGGCGCGAAGCAGATTTCCAAGTCAAAATGTACAAAACACGACATGTTCGCGCCACTTTTGGAGGTTCGGATGTTGAAAAAGTGCACGCCGTTGTGGCGCGAAGCACATTTCCAAGTCAAAATGTACAAAGCACATCATTGTCGGACCACTTTTGGAGGTTCAGATGTCGCTTCGCCGCTTCGCTTCACTACACTACACTACGTTACATTACACCACACTCCACTATACTACACTACATTACACTACACTACACTCCACAACACTACAACTACAACTACACAACTAGACTACACTCCACTACACTCCACTACACTCCACTACACTCCACTACACTCCACGACATTAAATTTCACTACGCTACATTACACTACACTACGCTCCACTACACTACACTATATACATTAAATTACACTACACTCCACTACACTACATTACACTACACTACGCCCCACAACACTACAACTACAACTACACAACTACACTCCACTACACTCCACTACACTAAATTACACTACACTACACTACATTACCCTACACTACACTCCACTACACTACACTACACTCCACTACACTACACTACATTACACTACACTACCTTCCACTACACTTCACTACATTACACTACACTACACTCCACTACACTACAACTACAACTACGACTACACAACTACACTCCACTACCAAAATTACACTACACTACACTACATTACACTACACTACACTACATTCCACTACACTCCACTACACTACACTACATTACACTACACTACAATACACTGAATGACACTGCACCACAGATAGACAGGTAGACAGGTAGACAGGTAGACAGGTAGACAGATAGACAGATAGACAGATAGACAGGTAGACAGATAGACAGATAGACAGATAGACAGATAGACAGATAGACAGATAGACAGATAGACAGATAGACAGATAGACAGATAGATAGATAGATAGATACACAGATAGACAGATAGACAGGTAGACAGATAGACAGATAGACAGATGCAAGAGAGAGAGAGAGAGATAGATAGATAGATAGATAGGTAGATAGATAGATAGTTAGATAGATAGATAGATAGATTAGGTAGGTAGATAGGTAGATATGTAGATAGGTAGATAGGTAGATAGGTAATTAGATGAAAGAGAGAAAGAGAGAGATAGATAGCTATATAGATAGATAGATACATAGAAGATAGATAGGTAGGTAGATAGTCAGAGAAAGAGAGAGACAGAGAGGAGACCACCAGCCACACTCCCCAGCTGGAGACAGAAGTGACAAGAGAAATAACTTTCTGAGTGTACCATTGACGGCTCAAAGGGATACACAACAAGCTAACTGCTCGCCGTTTGGCTTGATCTCGGCGAGCCAACTCGGTGGGTCTCACGGCCGACCGCCTATTGTCGCAAAAATCAACCCCAAGGATCCTAACCTGAGAAACCAGAAAGTTGGCAAGGGACACGTAGTTCCTGTCGCTTTTTGTTGGCGAACAAGTATTTTGGTTTTACCAGCATTTTCCTTCATGCCCACTGCATGTGCAAGCTGCTGCCAAGCGTCAATGGCAGCATGCGCTTGTGCTTGTGTTTGGCATACAAAGCTACGGTCATCAAGAAATATGGTGGACTTAGGTTGGGCATGTCCTGCCCGACTCATGGCTAACTCATGCGCGCGAAACAATCCCGTCGTGACTGCATTTAGCGCCATTGGTGCAAGGGCGTCGCCCTGTGGCATGGATGATGCAACCGGAACTGGTTCACTGAGGCTGGTGTCAAAAAGTTGTAACCATCGACTTTGGTGACACCATATGGATTCGATTGCTGCTGCCCAGGTGTGAGGAAACCTAAGCTCACGCAGAACCTGGCATGCTAATTGCGGGCTTACATGGTCGAAGCATTTTTGTAGATCCAAAGAGGCTAAGAAATCGTCTTTGTACATTGCACTATCAAGGCATGCTAGGGCAGTGTGGACCCCTCTGCCAGCGATGCCGCCGTGGAATTCTCTGGGGATCCACGCAGCTACCCATTCTTTGGTTTCCTGGTGTGAGGCCGTACAACCGGCGATTACTCTCCAAAGATGGGGTTGGATGGATATAAGTCGCAAGGAGGATGCAGCGATGGCATCACATGTGACTGTACAATCCTCTTTGGGCAAATGAACTTGTTTGATGTTCCGGAAAACACTAGGAAGTTGGCCCTGGCACAGCCAATGGTTAACTAAAACTGCAAAACTATTCCATATGCACATGGTCCAAGCGTTCGTTTCAGTGGCTGACCAGCCATCCAAACCGCAAGCTTTGCCTTGCCGCTTCATGCTTTGGTTTTTTAGAGCGAGTGGCTGAATGGTAGGCTGGCTATGAGGAGTCGAAATTGCAGGCATAGCACTACGCCACGTATGCATAGCCTCATTGACGTTAAGCGTTGGTCTTTGCCAGATGTCTTGCCAGAACATCTTGAGATGCTCCAAAGCGGTAGTCCGGCAATCACTGGGCACACCGGTGTTTGGGTGAAGAATTGCTGAAAATTGCGGCTTAGCTGGGGCAGCAACCCAATTACTGACAGCACGACAATCAGCTTGCATTTTTTGGCGCCAATCTGTCAAGGCGGCAGTTTTCTCATCACTGCAGAGTTGAGCAAGGTCCCTCTCTATTCTCTGTGCGTCCAAGACAGCGGAGCCTGAAGGAGGAGCACATTGCGGAGGCCAATGTTGGGTCGCATGACGATAGCACTGTTGCGCCAATTGACTATGACCCAGGCCTTCTTGCCGTATTGCTTCTTGCAGTCGGCCAGCTAACCGCCTCAACTTCCTCTCTTTAAAAGTGCAATGTTGCCGGTGGCGCGGCGCAGTTTTGCACATGACTGCACATGCATGGTGCCCTTTGTTCTATCCCACTTTGGGGGGGGCGACCCCTGCATTAGTGTATGCTTGGCGGTATGTCGCCAATAGCTGTTCATTGAACAGTTTCCAATCCCTGTCCGGATCACCGGGGTGCAACGTAGGTTCATAGGAAGACCATGCACTTTCCAGGAGGAGAGTCCATTGCTCATTGGTGAGCATGTCAAGTTTGTTAAATTTTGGTCTGGGCAAAATTTTCCATTCGCTAGCTTTTCGGTGAGAAACCTTAAGCTCAACAAATAAGGCCTTATGATCACTCCACTTTAATGAATCATAAGTCACAGTAGGTTGGCGCGACACATTGCTGAGCGCCCAGTCGATGCACCGTCGACCTTTCCATCTGCTTGGGACCAATTGGGAACCCTCAGTGACGGCAAAGGGGGTACCGCCCTGACACTGGAGATTAGTTGTTATTGGGGAGTCACCTGGTTCTTCATTCCAATCGCCAAGAATGACCTACTGTTTGTGAGGCCGCATGGAATAACAGGTTTGTGCAAAGTGGTTTTATCTTCAACTGGCCTAGCATAAAAGGCGATGAGGCAAAATGCATCCATGTCGACACAAACAGCTTGACCTTGGTCACACATGCATGTTGAAGACAGCCAGTGACGACAACTGCGTTGGATTAGGAGGCAAACCCCTCCATGCACGTGATCAGCCCCATTAGAGTACTTAGTTGGCTGGGGAACACTGAAAAAAGCATCATATCCGAAGCTATTTGCTTTCTTTCGCATAGCAATTGTTTGTCTTTTAGAAAGGCAAACTTCCTGGAGGGCAATGGCGGTGTGGCTGGCCCCCATATAGTGGGCTGCCGCCCTGAATGCATTGTTGGATCCGGCTGCATTCAAGCTAACGAGACTATATGGTCCAGGATTGGGTTCAATCCCAAGTCCGGGACCCAAGTCTTGGAAGGTGCCGCTTTGCTGCTGGATTGCGGTGCTTGAACATGGTTTAGCTCTTCAGTAGTAAGATTCCAAGCGTCAAACAATTTTTGCTGAGACTTTTGCTGGAGCTTAGAAACAAAATATCTCGCATTGTGTAGATACTGCTTCCTATCGAGTGGAGCACACATGTGTCGTTTGAGCATAAGAGTGTCACGCACGCAGCATGTTCGGCATGTGAACAAATAGCGCGACCAGCTTTGGTCGGCATTGGCAAGGTCAACACATACAATGTCGTGGCCCGCTTGTTTGGCCAGTTCAAGGCTGGCCTGCACGGCTTTGTCATGCTTTGCTTTTTTTGCTTTCTGTCCAACGACAAACTTACTTTGGATCTGGGGCTCCTGAGTGGCTTTCCTCTTCAACCAGTGTGACCACGTGGTTTCTTGAGCACAACACTTTTGGATATGTTCCTTGATGCTTTTCCACCGCTGCTTACCTTGGATGGCAGGGAGTCCTAAGTTACACTGAAAGCAGGTCCATGTGCGTTGATCAGCCGGCAGGTTGGAGGCCTGGATCACTTGCAAGGATTCTCTGAGTCTGCGAAAATTAGTTGTGGCAATTCCCTTATGCTGTTTCCGGATATGATCCGACCGCCTTTGACCCAGCAAGTGACGAGAAGTGGCCCTTATTTCAACATGGCACTGGTTGCAGACCCAAACGTGCTCGTCACCATGGCTGGCTAGCACAGCCTTGTCTTTGAGTTTGGCACTACCCATATCATGTGTATCATACCCTGTGCCATCGGGCTTTTGCTTGCCATTTAACCGATGTCTAGGTCGATGTGGTATGCGGACTGAACTTTGCGACGTGGCAGTGGCCAACGAAACAAATTGCTGGCTCTTGGTCTTAGCGACAGAGTGGTTCTCAAACACATAAACAGAAGCACCATTGTTTGGCCTGATTGTGTGAACCGACGGTGTGCCAGGGATAATTGAGTGAACCGTGGGAGTTGACAAAATGTCAGCACGGCCCCCACCATGTTGCTCTGCTCGCTTGGGAGTGGCAAGCACTGTGTGGACTGACGGCGTGTCAGGCACATAGGAAGTCTTTAGTTGGCACGGCGACCCGCTCTCTGTAGGCGAATGGCCAGCTCCGCGCAGTGCTGTCCGGGCGGGCTGTTGTGTCCAAGGAATGGTCATGTGGTCGTCAGGTGGCACTAGCAGTTTGTAGTGGCCTGCTTCAAGTGTGAGAGCAATGGGCGGCGTGTTTCGAGCCTCACAAGCTTCACCATTGTCACTAAATCTCGGACTGTAGATGTATCTTTGCCATACACCATGTCCAGACTTTTGGACGTCCATTGACCAGACGACGATTACCTGTCCAAACTTCTCGGCCAGGCTCTGCAATTGTAACCCATCAATCCAAGCACCTTTTCGGCTGGATTTTGTTATGTAGTTTTCCCACGTGTCACTTTCACCAGGACAGGGATCTTCGGGATCATGCGCAAAAGCGGCTTGGAAGCGTTCCACATGGGTTGGTTTCTGCATATGCTGGAAGGTGCCAGCTCTCAATGTGGCCGCGGCTCTTTCAGCTACTTCGCAAGACATGATGGACCCTTGCTGATGTAGGGCGCGACCTTGGGCAATGGTCAAATAACCACATTCACCTTGGCCACCGCACTCGAGCCTGCGCCACCAATGTTGCAACAGGGCATCAAGTTCTGATGTGTGTGGCGTTTGTGTGTTTATTGGGTGCATGTCAGCATCTGCTGGATCAGCTTCGATTCTAGATTTCTTGTCAGCATGTTCGTGGATTGACGATTCTTCTGCATCATCAGCCATTTCGGTTTCCTGCTCCTTTGTCATAGGGGCGGCTGCCTTAGGAGGAACTTTGTTGCCATAGAAGCTCTGGCCTTCCTTGGAGGACGGTTCCTTCCATTGTTTCTTTGGACCCTGTATATACTGCAGGTAATTGCTACGGACGGCCTTAGGCGGAGCTTTGTTGAGATAAATCCTGTTGCAACCCCATCCATGGCCATCAACCTCATACACATAACTGTCCTGCGCGCTCTCCCCTTCACCCGGCGGTCTAGCTCTGAGCCACCAGGTGGGTGTGTCCTTGCGCTTTGCACGGCGGTTGATGACTGAAACATCTTGCCATTGCTGTTCGGCCAGAAACTGAAGGATCTCTTCGCTCTGCCAGTTGGAAGGAAAGCCATTGGCGATCCAATGGCTGTGCTTAGGTTTGACAGCATCCTCGTCTGTCATGAAGCCCTAGTTCAGCAGAGCCATCTTTCCTGAGTTTCAACCCTTCCCTTCTGGTGTGCGCAAGGGAAGACATACGCCGGAGGTAGCTCTCGTCAGATTCTTGGGCTTCTCTTTTGTGCCACGCCACCTTTTGGTTGGTTATATGGTTTCCCAGCGTCACCGCAAAGATACCATGCTCACCACTGTTTGCCACCATGGCTGTGGCAACTTCTTGGGGCAACTTAAGCACACAATGTAGCAAAGTCTTTTGCTCATTGATACGTTCTGTCCACCAATTTCCGCCAGTGAGCATGCTAACGGTTGCACCTGGCGTTGCTGCAGCCAACTCACTGATAACGTGCTGTGGCCGATCTTGAGATCCGTGCGGCAAGAAAGCAGCTCGGAAGTGTTGCGGTGCTGTGATACGGACTGGTACACGAGGTACAATCTGCACTTGTGAATTCTGAATTTTAACTGGGGCGTGAGTCCAAGGACCTCTGTAACCTGGGATTGCCTCAATTAATGCAACTTCTTCAAGTTTTGGGCGCCCATGCTTTCGTGTGCAAGTGACACGGGTGTAGAACTCACCCTGTCCTGAAATGTCCCGCTTCCGCTTGGCTTGGTCTGTGAGCAAGAAAGTCAAATGACCTGACAAATTGTGAGCGGCAAAGAGCACCTTTGCCTCTTGGAATTGCTCAACAGTGCTTATATGCATAATATTACCATCGACCTGATGGCCTTGTGCTAAACCTCTAGTCATCGTTTGCAGATGCAGCAACTTTGGCCGCATTGTCCATTCTTGGAATCTCAAGTCTGTCACGGTGGCATATTGATTTGGGTGCCATGTACTTTGGGTTTGTGTGGATGGGTTTTGCCAGTTATCCGCCCAGTCGTTTCCCCATCGCTCCCATGCATGCCACGTGTTTTTATCATAAAAGGATGTCCCCCACCTGTTGGGGGAGGCCTTGTTACCTGACCAATTTCCAGCTGTTGTATTCATTGACGTCTTTTGTCTGGACGTGTGCGTTCCCAAGGCTTGTGGGATTTGCACAGCAAC